CGCTGACGTGGTCGCCACGCGGCAGCCATTGCCAAATGGCTGGCTCGCACGCAGAGCTTCCAACAAAGAAATACGGCCCACTTTGTGGCATTCGTCCAGGACGATGAGCGGGGCCCCGGTGGGGTCTGCCTTGAGCCATGTGATGATCTGCACGCACAGGTGGGAGCCAGGCGGCAGCAGTCAACGGCATGCATGCATGCCTGGAATGCCTGGCACACCCGCCAGATGGCCAGGCACCAGGCAACCTGGCCCCAGAGGAAGAGCCGCCTGGCTGGGCTGCAGTACGCACCTGCTTCAGCCTGGACTTGGGCGCCACAGAGATGCGCATGCGGTTGTCCTGCTGCTCTTCGCTGCCTGCGCCCAGCAGGCGCGGCGCCTTCTTGTTCTGGTCGTCGTCGCTGAGCCCCTGCGCAGCACGCAAGCAAACAGGGCGGCTAGCGTGTGGCTGTGCAGCGCGGGGCGGCTGGCACGCAGCACGGCGCTGGGCAGGGTTGTGTGGCGAGGGACGCAGGCGGGGGCGTGCCTGGATGAGGGCGGAGTAGGTGCAGAACCAGAGGCCATCGGCGGTGACTACCGAGGCGGCCGGGGGCTGGGTGGCTCCCTGCAGGGCGGTGCAGGGCAGGCGGGTGCATCAAGCCCCAGCCCAGGGAGGCTCGTGCGCATGGCAGGCATGCGTGTCAGCCACAGGTGGCCGCACCCAGCATGCGTGTGCACGCGCCTGTGGGAACAGAGCCATCCTGGAGCCCACATCCCGCAGGTCGCGCTCCGCATCTTTGCGCAGGTCTGAAGACACGGAGAGCCACAGCGCGCGTCGGCCGCCCTCCTGGCGGTGCCGCGATCTGGCGCCCCTTGCCCACGCCCGCGCCGTCGCCTGCAGGGCGGGGCGGGCAAGGCTGGGGCAAGGAGGGAGCGGCAGGGCCAGCTGCGTGCAGGCCAAGGCGGTGGGTGCGGGGAAGTGGGCGGGCACCCACCCAGGAAGAACCCCGCCCGTGCGCCGCTGGCCAGGCGCGCCCCGTGGAACCTTGCGCTGGCATACACCACGGTCTCCAGCTGCGCGCCGCTGATCTGCGGGCAGGGCGACGGGGGTGGAAAGCCAGGCGAAAAAGGCGGGAAGCGATCGACAGCTAGTCGGTGCGGGTGCAGTTTGAATTGGATTTTGAAAAGGCGCGGCGGTGAGCAGGACGGCAGGCAGCCCACCACCCCCTGGACCATCACACCGGCTTTGACTGCACCTGGCAGCATAGGCTGCCCAGCTGCCCCACCTTTCCGCTCTGCACCACGTCTTTTATCAGGTGCTGGAAGGCGGGCGGCGGCAGCGGCACCGCCGCAAGCGATGCCGACTCCACCAGCGGGTCGGGGTGGGGCACCACCTCCGGGTTGGCCTGTTTGAGCTGGATGGCGGAGTAATGCTCATAACTGGCCTCCCTCTTCGGCGGCGCCCTGCAGGCAGCAGTAGTGGCCCGGGGCCGCCGGGGCGGCAGGGCTGAGGTGAGGGCGTCCAGCCCCGCCGCTACCTGCTCTAATCTGCTCCCAGGCCACTCCCCATCCCTGCCCAGGCCCGCTGATCAAAACGAGGGCAGCTACCAGGTCCGAGGCTGCTCCCCCAGCTCTGTTGACGCACTTGCTCGTCCCTCAGCTCGTTCGCCTCGGACTCGGCCTTCACGGGCTGTGCTGCCCGTCCTAAAGCCGGCCCGGAGGCAGCGGCTGGGGCCGCGGCAGCGGGTGGTTCGCCTCCCTCGAGCAGGGGAGCATCGCCTTCCAATGGTGGGAGGGCACCTGCTGGGGTTATTGCTATCTTCCTCATGTGTCAAGGGATAGAGACAAGGAGTAACAAGGAGTAGTGATTGCCAGACAAATTGCATGCGGGCAGCAGGCGAGGCATGCACAGCATGCGCTTTTGAACAAACGCCTTCTCTTGAGTTGCAGCTGCTGCCAGTGTGCACCCTCGCTAGCCATCCCAGTGTCTGATAGTAATTGCGTAACATTACAAAAAGAACGGCTTGCATGCCTTCCTAGACGCCATCGGCACCAGCAGGGTGGATGCCGCACTCTGCAAGCGCCGCGTCCCAGGCAGCTTGCAGGTGCAGTGCCACCGCACAGGTGCTGCCCCTCGTGGCAGGCAGCTGCAGTTCCTGCAGCCTGTGCAGCCAGGCATCACTGCGGCCGTTGCCTGCCGCATCCACCTGCCCCGCCGCTACCTCGGCAGGCTGCTCCTCCGCTGTGCCCTCCTCCTGGCTGACCCACTGGTGTCCACCGCCCTCGCTGTCTGCATCCCCCTCTGCCGCGCCGCCGCCGCCGCCACCCTCCTTGCCCAGCCCCAGGTACCTCTGCAGAAGCTGCACTGCGATCCCGCGGATGGCGGCAGCGTGCTTAGAGGCCGCCTTGGCGCCGCCGCCGGCACTTGGCAGCGGCCCCGCCAAGCCAATGTCCAGCAGCGTCTGCCAGTCGGGCAGCGCCAGCTGGCGCTCCAGGCTGGCCTGCGGGAACTGCGCCAGCATGGAAAAAGCCTCCCGCCGCACCGCATCGTCCTTGTCACGGCAGCGAAGCAGCACCGCGCGCAGCAGGGCCGCCTCCTGCAGGCAGGGTAGGGCTGGGGGAGCAGGTGTGGCAGGGGGCTGCCGCAACAGGCTGGCGCACTTCCTTGCCTATCTTGGCGGCCCCCGCCTCCTGGCAGCAGCCCTGCACGCAGCCTGCGCATGCGTCGACTCTCCATCCCCTGCACCCAGCTCCTGCCCACCTGCGGCGAGCCCCCCGCCGCCGCGGACGAGCTCAGCAGCCGCATGGCCTCGCGCCGCACGCGGATGCTGGGGTCGGCCCGCAGCACAAACAGCAGCTGGTCCAGGGCGGCTGCCGGCCACAGGCGCAGCGCAGCGCCCTCGCCCTCCTCCTGGCCCTCACAGGCGTCCAGGTAGGAGGCGGCCGCGCGGTCCATGGCTGCACTTGGAGGGGTAGCAGGGAGGCACCAGGTTCAGCGTCTCGGGAGCGGGCTGCCCCAAGGTTTGGTTCACGCCATGCGCCGCCGCACTGCCCCGAGCCGCTGCCTGGCAGGGATGGCGGGAGGTGAGCAGGCACCTGGTGCCGCCCCATGCGCCGCCCGGCCCGCCGCTGCCAGGCCCCGCCCGCCGCGCCCCTCCCCCACCTGCCAGCGCCTCGACTCGGGTTTGCAGCGTGCAGTTGACCTCGGGCCGCAGCAGCTCGCAGCAGCCTGCCAGGAAGGCCGGCGCGTTGTGAGCCAGCAGGGCGGCGGCCGTGGCAAGGCCGCGCTTGGCGCCCGCGCTGGCGCCGCTGCCGCCACCCTTCTTGCGGCGGGAGGGGCCCGCCGTGGCATCCTCGGGACCTGGCTGGAAGGCGGGATGGGCCAGCACCAGCGGCACCACCATGTGGGCTGTCTCCAGGCAGCACAGGCTGCGCGCCAGCGTCTGCGGGGCGGCGCGCGTCAGGGCCGCTGCGCCGCCACCCACCGCCTGCCACACCAGGCCGCGCAGCAGGGCGGCAAAGTGCGCCCACCAGGTGTCGGCCACGGCGGGCAGGGGCGGGCGGAAGAGGTGGAGGAAGCGGAGGGCAGCCTGGCACTGCGCGTCGGTGAGGCGGCGGCGGGCCCCGGCGTGCTGCACCACGGCGGCAAACGCTTCGAACGCCGCCGCCTGCTGGCGCCGCGCGTCGGGCAGGTCGCGCCCAAACCAGGGCGGGGCTGCCAGGTCAGAGAGCGCCTGAAGAGCTGCTGGGAGCAGGCCGGGAGGCTGGAAGAGGCGCAGGTGCAGCAGGCAGGCCAGCATGCTGCGCCGCTGCTGGTGGGTGGCTGGGGGGGGCAGGGAGCGCAGGTTGACGCCCAGCAGCCCCGCCAGGCTGTCGCGGCACGCCTGCAAGCGCTGCACGGCGGCCGTGGCTGCCTCGCCCTCCTGCCCATACAGCAGGGCCGCCACGGCATCCTGCCCCACGCCCTGCACATGCTGTACCGCCGCGCTGCTGCTGCCTACGACTCGCAGCAACAGCGCTTGCAGCTCTGCCCAAGCACCGCCGCCGCCGCCTGCCGCCAGGTGGAGGGCGGCGTGCTGGCGGAAGGCTGCGGCCAGCTGCAGCTGGACCTCCTCAGGCGCCCCATGCAGCTCGGCCAGGTAGCTCTGAAGCGTGGCAGCAGCCTCCTGGGGCCCCTGCTGGGCCAGGGCTGCTTTGAAGTCCTCGAGGGCGAGCGCCTGCAGCTCAGCCTCCTCCTCACCCTCCATGGTGCACGTGCTCACTTCAGCAGTTCAGCTCTGGATTCAGGGTGGAGTTAGAAGAAGAAGCTCATGCCTGGAAGGATGGCCTGTACCGCCTCGTCTTGCCATCAAGGTTGCCGCGCTTCTTCTGATCTAATTTTACAGCTTGGCGAGGAGTCAAACAAGAGTACAGGCACACAGACAACCGTTCAAGCCCAGCACAAGGTCACAACTTCGGCGTGCCTCACTTGCCCTGCTGCTTGCCGGCGGCCTTTGCGGCCGCGGCCAGCGCAGAGGCCTGCTGGGCGGCAGCCTGCTGCGTCATCTGCACCTGGCTCAGCAGCGAGTGCATCTGGGCCAGCAGCTGCTGCTGGTGGGGCCCCGCATTCGCCACCGCCGCAATCTGGGCAGGGGTGGGCCCGCCGGCCGCAGGCTGCTTCCCGGCGGCAGGCTGCTTCTTGGCCGCTGCCGCCAGGGGCGCAACGGGCGCGCTGCTGGCCACCGCCGGCGAGGTCGACTTTTTCGAACTGCCGGCTGCCGCCTTCTTCTGCTTCAGCTGCTTTGCCTCTGGCGCTGCTGTCAGCGGCTTGGGCCCTACGGCAGACCCTGCAGCCGGCACGTCGGCGGGGCCCATGCCGGGCAGCGGCAGCACCGGCGAAACGAGCCCGGCTGCCGCTGCCGCTGCCGCGGCCACCTCCTGGGGAGTCAGGGTGGAGGTGGGGGGCGCAGCATCCGCAGCCAGCTCAGCCAGGAGGCGCTTCTGCCGCCGCTCGCCAGACCCGGGCTGCTGCTTCTGCGGCGGCGGCGACGCCATCGGCTGCCGCCGCTGCTGCCGCTGCTGCTGCTCCTGCTCCTGCTTCACCTGCACCTCTGCCTGCTGCGCCTGCTGCTGCGCCTGCCGCTTCTTCTGCCGCTTGTTGCTGAGAGCGGCGGAGGATCGGTAGGGGCGCAGGCCAGAGCCCAGCAGCAGCTGCGGCCAGGCCACGGGCGCTGCCCGCCGCCCGCTGTCATGCGCCTCGACCTCTGCCGCCTCGCAGGCACGCACAAAGCTCTGCAGGCACGCCACGCCAGGCGGTGCACGAGTGAGCAGGTTGCCATGGCAGCGCAGCTACGCACCGCCTCCCCCGCCAGCCCCTGCCTTCCGGTCGCAGGGCAGAACCGCCCACCCCGGGGCCAGCACCGCTCATCCCC